GGTCACTTCCAGCCCAAACCATTCTGTGATTTTTAAATCAACTATGGTAATGTGTAAGAAATTGTAACTACTGCTATGGCTTTCATTTAAATGGATTCAGGTACTATACTGCCTAATAGCATAACTGCCCATAGTGGTTTCCAGGAGTATAGTAAGCGTTGGATATATCGTTATGGTTGTCCATTGTAAAACATTCTTATTTGTTATGCTAAGACGTGGCACGGTGGTGTGGAAACTTATGTGTAACAGCTCAAAGAACAAGTTCATGACTATTACATAAAACAGCATTTTACAAAGAATATTATGAAATCAAACAAGCCCTTTATAGAACATTGGCAGTGCACATGAATATGAAGAAATGTTGGGTGGTACATAAGCACTTTTACAGTTTTAATGCTTGTGATTAATTTGCGCCAAGTCTTCTGACAGTAGGTAAGATAATTGTTAACCTAGAATGGACATGTGTATGGCATAAAGGGAAATCAGCTGAGTTCATGCTATGGTATAATGATGATAAATGTTTCTGTTGCTATTGCAGGGTCAGAGATATGTTGACCGATGTCATCAAAGGTGCTTCCAAGTAAGAACTGCTAATTTATTACAGATGAGAATGAGTTCTCTTTTGTGTCAGAAGATGTATTTTCTGTAACTGGTTGTCTGCCAGTTTCATGATTTCGCAAGACTGGTGTTCTTCCCCACCTTATGCTTTGAGATTTTTACCACTGACTGGGTTTATTAGAAAGGCTGATGCCTCATGTTTTGAGTAAAGCCTGGGTAGTGCTATGTGCACTATTAGTCTGTTCTTTTTTTTATCTAGCAGATGGTTTGCCTCAAGTAGCTTCATTTGTCTTGAAGTCAGCTGGTCTTTAGTGGAGTATGCACTCTTCAAAACTCTCCCGCTTTCTGTTAAGGTGCCTTTCCTGTGTCCAGGTGCCGCCAAAGGCAGTAATGTTTTCAGATTGTGACAGGCTTGTTCATTTTCTGTTAGAATTGGCGTATGGCTTTCAGGCAGCTGTAAGTATCTTAACCTTCCTTCATAGACTGCTAAAGTGGTTTGACTTCTTCCTTTTGCTCTGCAATTGGCCACTTGCACCAGGTTAAGCAAAAGCATCAGAAATGGTGAATCCTCATAAGAGCAAGTACTTAGAAAATCTTAAATCATAAAGATGTCATCGGCAAAAGAATTACAGTGAAATCTCACAGACTTGTTTCAATGTTGACATTCTTGTAAATGTATAAAAGAGTAGTTTGAAACATTACTACTGTAGTCTTCTTTTAAAAACAAATCAGAAATTCAGAAAATAGTTTTATTGTGAAAATGAGATCTTTGGATCTGGAACAAATGCCTAAATTTGCAGAGATTTGCATTCATTTTTACAGGAACAGTTGAGGAAGTTTTTGGAAATGGAAGACTGATACAAAAAGTGTGCTACACTGTGTACTGGTCTGTCAGTGGTTTAGTACAGTTGTATTGTTTAGCTGCTGTTGTAAAACAACTAAGACATTTCCAGCAGGATTATATTGCAATATGTTTTTCTGGGATATCAACGCCTATCTTTTAATGAAACTGAACACAGTTATATTCTCTGTCTTATTTGTAGGTGGCAGGTTTTTTTTCCTTGAGCTCCTTAAAAGTAAAGGTTTGCACTGTGATAGAAGTTAGTACTCTTTGAAACTTGTCATTTTCCATGAAGTTAATGTTTTCACAGCATAGGGGAGTAATTAAAAACTTTTTTTAAGACGAGATTTCAGTGATGGCTGCTCTGCTAAATCTCCTGAACAGATGCTGTTGCAGTGAAGTGGTGGCACCTTCCTATCTAGCGTTCTCTGTTTGAAGAGCTTTTTGTGTTGTCCTGTGTAGAGATGATACTAGCTAAGAGCAACTGGTGCATTTCTGTCAGTGCTACTTGCTCTGCAGGGTGGCAGGCCTCATGATAAGGGAAGCAAGCTTCTGTTTTAATACAACTTTGTGTGTTCTAGGCTTTATATAAAAGAAAAACATGAAAAAAGACTGAAATGCTTCTCTCCTCCATTCTTTAATTCCTGAAGCTGAAATGTGATAGACTATTGCCGAGATAGAAGACAGCCCAATAAAGTTGCTAGGTGAAAAGGCCTTCCCTCCTGGACCACCTGTAGCATAACTTTCCTGCATGAGATACGTGTTTTGTTGCCTGCATCTCCATTACACTTCTTAACTGTTTTGCTGCCTTCTGTCTAGAGACAGCCCAGTGGTGAAAGGAAACTCTATTTTTGCCTTAACTGGTCTTGCAGTTGCTGTAGCCAAATACGAAAGCAGCCTTTCCTCAGACACTGAAGGGATGCCTGAGGTGAGTCAATCTGGGAAAGAGATTCCCTATTCTTAGTGGAATATAATGAAACAATATTACCAGGTACTTGGGGGACCTGGTAAGCGGATGTGAAGTACTTCACATTTTGAGGTTCAAATTTCACCCTGCTCAGTGAATGCCAGCTGGTAGCTGCTGTGTGATGGTCAGTGTGGAGGTGCCTTCTCACAAGAAACATAATGACTAAGAGATTTATTTGTTCGTTTTGACAGGTGAGATAGAGGTCTAGTGGATGCTGAAACTCAGCCACCCTCTTTTCTCATCGTTGTTGCTTTCACTGAATAGTACCTGATCAAAAGTAGTGTCTGGAGGGTCAGCATTGGCAAATAAATCATGCTACTTGCTGTACATAAGAATGACAAAATAATCTCATTCCTGATGGATCATAACTGGAACATCACCTGCTGAGCTTCTGTTCAGGTAGGACCTGATTTAAGAAAAAATAACGATGAATATTTGGGTTTGTTTCTTGCAGACTGAACCTGATTTTCTTCCCACAAAACACTGGATTTCTATGGTCACAGAGACCCTCTTTAGTATTGTGAATAGCCGCTATCACCCTAAAGGTCAGGTCTTCCCATGGTTCTACCAGGTACGTGTTGTGGTGTTCAAGGCAAGACAGTATATATGTGTTTCATACCTGGAGTTCTTAGTGTGAAGTTTCATGGTTCTCTTTGCTCTATAGTAGTTGTAGTACAGGAGGATCAAAACTTTTCTTGCTTTTTTGCTTTCTCTTTCATTGTGTTTTCTGCTTATATTTAGGTTTGCCTTGAATTTTGTCTTTATTACTAAAATAGTAATAACAATAAGTGAGGATACATGAATGAAAGAAATTTTAAAAACAAAAAAAAAACCCTTCAAACCCCAGAATTTTCAACACGTATGTACTAAACAAAACCATCTAACATGAACAGACTCTCCTCGGACTGCACCATCAAACTCTTGAGTAATTCTGACACCATTCCTTAGGGCTCTGAAATGCATACTTTTGCAAAATCTAATAGTTCTGGAGCCAGTGATTCTTATTTTACAGTACCTTTTGAACCCCTGAGGGCCAGCAGAAGTTGTATCCTATGTGCTTGCAGTATGATAACCAGCCTGAAATTATCAAGCCATATAAGCATCAAGCAGTTCTTAAGTAGGACCTGGAGATGGACTGGAAGGTCATTAAGGAATAGGTATTGCTAACTCTTGATTGTCTGTGGTCAGAATGATCAGGATGGAGATTCTTTGACGTGGATGCAGGGGGGAACTTGGGTCCTACAAGGCCAAATACCAGCCTGCTAATGTATTGTGATGTTTTCTAACCAGAACTTAATTAACTGCATTCATGAACTGTGTTTAGTCCAGTAGTGAGATGTCAGCATCAAAAAGCTGAAAATTACTGATGGACCTGAGTCAGCTCTGGCAAGTAACTGCTGTCATCACTGATAAGGAACATAGATCACCAAATCGAATGTAGTGTTAAATAAGTGCTAGACTGGTTGGTCATAAGGAGATGCAACTACTTGGTTGGCACTGACAGTCCTTGCCAAGTTGGTTTGTGACTCCTGCCTTTGAAAATAATGCTGTTTAAAGAAGGTGTTTTTGAGATGCAACAATGTGACAATGCTGCATTTCTAAAATCCACTCTTTTTAATTCTTCTTGTTTTAAACAATCTTGTGCTTGCAAAATTCTAAGGCACACAGTAGAAAACACTGTCTTGCAGAGTGCCTTGCATCCTGATGGGATATTTTTTCTTTTCAGAGTTGTACCTGGAAGTTGATAAATATACATTAGGCTATTACTTAGAATCAGTCCATTGCTTTATAACTAGAGGTAGCTGTATGGATTTTACCTTTCAAAATGAAAAGGAATTTAAAACCTTTGTAATGAATCTTTCGTCTAGAAAGTATCTCTGCTGGTTATCTTGCAAGATCTTATGATACTTTGTCATCCTAGGCGTGATGTTTTTAAGGTAGTGCTTTTTCCAACTCACAAAATTCTTGGTGTGTTATAATTACAGAAGTACATTAACACCATGGCTGGTTTCTGTTTGACTTTCTGATCACACTGCTGGATATTTTAACAAGGAAGGTGAAAACTAAAATAGACCAATATGTGCAGACTAGCTGCTAAATTCTAGTTGCATCCTGTCTTATCCTTTGTTTACAGTTTCATACTTAATCTTATTTACACTTAGAAATTGTATTCTGACTTTCTCGAGATTTAAGGTGCTTCCAGGGTAAGGCAAATGTAAAAGTTACCATAGCCAATTCCATAAAATACTGTTTATTGCCATATTGCAACACATCTGTGCTGCTGTTTGCTGTATAGATACTTATTTTAAATTCTAAAGTGCTTAGTTACTGCCTGGAAAGGAATTCTATTTCCCTCCCCCAAGAGGACAAAAAAAAATTTTATTCTTTATGTTTTTCTAGAAATCCTATTCCGGTGAAAATACTGCTAGTATTATAGCTCGTTCCTGTGCAGCCACTGCTTTGTCTCTCTTGGTGCCAGTTTTCATTGTATCATGCAAAGAGAAGGTTGAGGAGGTCCTGAATATGCTGACTGACAGGTTACCTGGGAAACCAAATGCTGATGAGTCTCAAGCTGTTCAAACCCACATGGGTCTTGGTTTGGGGATGTTTATCTCACGTTTGTATGAAGAAAAAGTCAGGTAAGGATCACTATATGTAATGTAGGTGTGCAAATAACTTCCATCTTTTCCCTCTTGAGGCTTTAAGTTCCGAGGAATTAAAGTGTTTGCAAGTCATAGGCAAATGATTATTGCGAGGCTTTGCAAGTTGTCTTAAAAAGTGTCTAGTGTCTTTTATTATCAGCCTTCACACACACCACAACAGCAACCACACCACCCCCCCCCCCCAGTGCTTTCCTGGATATTTTGCCATTCTCTCAGGATGAATGTTTAATTTTCATAGTATCCTAAGGTACATGTGAAAAGCAGTCAGCTAGAAGAGCCACATGTATGCTTTTAAAGGGGTCTAGCTGCCCTAAGAGTCTTAATTGAAAAATAATTCACATGTTCTCACCAGTTCCGTTGTAAGTGGTGTTCTGAACACTGCATAGTGTCCACTTACATCGGGATGCAGCTGCAACAGAAGTAGTGTAATGGGCTGTCTTTAAGGTCTGCTGTTACAGCTGTGTTGGCAGCAAAGAGATGTTCTGAAGTTGGTAGAAAATGCCTTTGCAGAAGGGTTGACTTCAGTTGCAAATTTCTGATGATTCCAGAGAAATTAAGAAGTAGGTTTGGCTTTATACTCCTCCAGCTTCTTGACTACTAGGGACTCTGTCTGCTTATATACCCATAATAAATATTTAATTGGTGCACAAGCACAGGTATCAAACAGATTTGGGTGTCAGTTGTTAATTTGCTCAGTGAGATGATATTTCTGAGACACTTGCCTTTGTTAAAACACTGTGCAATATTGCTCTGTTCTAATCTTCTGTGGTGATTTGATGCTTTGCTGCCTCAGACTCAGCCACGTAGTTTGAGGATGGACTGCCTCTGATTAGTCAGTGGTGACAACTGAGCTACACGCAAGCATTGAAAGGCTCTTAAAGAGAGTGACATTAGATCAGCTTGGTATTTTGGAGTACGTGAATCTTTATTTGGGGTTTTGGGGTTTTGTTTGTTTGGCGAGGGGTGTTGAAATTAATAAATTCATCTAAAATTTTTTTATGGACTGTATCAGGTTTTGCTTTTCCACTGTCCTGCATAATTTCAAAGCTTAATCTCACACATTCTTCCAAGCATTGACTTGCAACAGCAGCAAAACTTATAGGTATGTAGCTATAGCTAATATGAAGTCATAGAATTAGTTTACATTAAAGATGTCCTGTGTACATGTTTTGTAAGAGGGGAGTCCCTATGATGTCATTGGAATGAGATATAAATGCTTCTTTCTTTTAGCCTAAGAGCTGGAGAGAATTTACGGAGCTAATAAAATGTGATGAATTTTCAGCTTATAAATAGTTATAGGTCTAGCTGAGATATGTTCTATCGGTATCCTCCTACTGTCAGGTGTGTTTTACAAATACTGAGTGCTGGATTTCTTTCTGGGTGTTGCAGCAATAATGGTTGCCAGTTAAGGTCTGAATATGTTTTTATTTGTGTATGAATATCTTTATATGGATGTGACAGAAATGACTAGTCATACAGTTATTGCTTACAGACTAGTATGAGAACCTGTTAAAGTAAGAAAAGAACTCTCTTTACTGGCACAGTCTTAGCAGGAGGTTTAATATCCTGTATGATTTAAAGAGCAAAGCTGCGTTCTGGATTTTTTGATTTCTATTTTGGTTTGGTTTTGTAGTGATGTTCCCGGTCAACAGATGAACTTAGCTCTAATGAAGTCTCTGGATGTGCTGGAAGACTGCTGCTTTGACACCAGTCTGGAGTACAAGTGAGTTTCCTTCGTTACTGGTGGTATTGTATTTTGAGCTCCACCTTTTTAATTCATGCTCTTATTGCTTAATTCTGCACAGAATATTATAAGGATAGAATAAGGAGACAGCCTGTTCTGAGTAATTCCATAGAATCACCAACTCATGCAGGTTGGCAAGGACCTTTGGAGGTCCACATCCCTCTCCATCACTACCAGAGATGCTGTTGGGTGCCCCCAAACCATCCCTTCTCACAGCTAGACCAGCTGTGAGACCACAGCCTCTGCTCTCAGGGCAAGGGCTTCAGCATTACTGCCTTGGTAGCCTCCTATGAACTTGCTACAGTTTTGTTGGTGTCTTTCCTGCATTCAGAGTAGTATTCCAGGTGTGTTGATGAGCACAGAGTAGAGGGGTGATCCTTCCGCTGGCTCTCATGCTGTGTCCTGCTTATGCTGCTAGCGCACTGCTGACCCTCATCACTGTCTGGGTGCATGTCTGGCCCTGGCTTAGCTTGCTGCCCACCAGTGCCCAAGGCTGTCCTCAGGAGCTGATGCCAAGCCCCTCTGGTCCCAGTCTGTCTGTTGCCAGGTGCAGGACTGTGAGTTGGTGCTTGTTGAATTTCAGGATGTTCCTGCTGGTTTGTTCCTCTGCGTAACATCTCTTCTAAGGGAGCGTGTCCATAAATTAATATATAAAAAATACTTTACATATGTAAGTGTTACGCATGTGTACATATATCTAATACACACACGCACACGCTTTTTTCCGTACAGTCCCTGGTATGAGGTGAAAAGAAGCAATTACCACCACTGCTAATCTCTGACAACCTGCAAATTAAAACCTTGGATGTGTATAAAGAACACAGTCTTGCCCACTGTGATTGCAGTGGGAAGATACCAGCAACTCTAGGAGCAGGGCTGCTCATCTTACCTGCATATGTTCATTAATGAAAGGTGGTTTTGCAAGTTGCTTCCTTGCTATTGGGTGGTTGCCGAGGTGTTCAATGAAGTCTTGCTGCTGCTGTGTTGGAGCCTGTTACTGGAATATACTTGTGTGTACACAATACAGTGTGAGCTCTGAGAGCAGCTGCCTCGCATGGGTTATTTATCTGGGAGAGCCAGGCTGTTAATTTAACAGCTGTGGATGGCATGTTGAATACTGAGTAAAGCAAATGTAATTCATTTAACCAACTGAGGTTATGCCTCAGGTGTCCCAAAGAGAGGAGCAGCCCACCAGCAGGGCAAGAAATTATTGAAAGGTATTGCACAGTTACTAGCATTGGCAAACCTGGAATATCTGAACAATAAAACAGGTGTCAGTTGCCATTAAACAGCTAACATAGTGTGTGTCTTCCACAGTAGTCATTTCCCTTTTAAATCAAGGAGGGAACTGCAGTATCTTGAATGTCTCAGTGTGGGTGCATAGGGTTTTTTTGATTCTGAACATTCTGCCCAGCTCTTCCCTGTTCAAAGGAAGCAGCAATAAATCCTGTTTGCCTTTGCCCTCCCTTTCTCCAGTGGACCTTCTGGCAAGCTGTGAGGGAGTCACAGTTGCGCACCATTGGGCTGTGAACCTGTGTAGCTTAGTCAGGATTTGAGTTGCCTCTTGAGTGGTGCAGGGTGAGACACACAGTGCAAGGGGGGCTGTGTCAGCTGCATCACTTTGTTATGGCTGGTGCTGCTTGCTTGTGCAACCTGTATTCTGGGAGGTGTTTGTCTCCAGCAAAGCCAAACTAGACCTCTTGGGCAGCAAGAGGCTGCCGGAGGAGTACGAAGCAATGGCAAGCAGGAGAGGGAAGATTGAAGGGCGGGTGTGCTGGGCGTAAGGGCTGCATTTTTCGAAGGTTGATGGTATGTCAGTGTCTAGTGTGAGCACTCTTTGTTAGCCAAGTAACGTAGAGCTGTAAATGTTGTATGCTTGTCCATGTTTGGCATTTGTCCATTTTTAAACTGCTATTGCAACACAAGGCCCTTTCCAGCCTTTTCGTCCAGTCCGACGGGCATGGCCAGCTGCGGGACGGAAGTGCTACACTGGCCTTTTCGTCAGTGCCTCGCCCGTGCCGAGCCGGGGATCCTGTTTTTCCCATAAAATCGGTTGCAGGGTTGGGTGTCGAGGGCAGCATCCGCGGAGGGCGGCCCTCCC